TTCACCCTATCAACAGACTGAAAAAGAAAAAAAACATATGATCATTTCAATAAATGGGAAAATAGTATTTGACAAAATTCCACATGTATTCATGATAAAAACTCTCAGAAAACTAGAATTGATAAGACTTTCTTCCATCTGATAAAGAACACCTTTATCAAAAACTGACTATCACACTTAGTTGGAAAAGACTGAATGACTTCCCCCTAAAATCAGGATCAAGGTAAGGATGTCTACATTCCCTACTACTTCTAACCAATGTTGGCCTGAAAGTCCTAGACAAGCAATAATGCAAGAAAAAGACATAAAAGGCATACAGATTGGAAAAGAAGAAATAAACCTATTTATGAACAAATTATATGATCTTAAAAACTTCCCATCACTCCCTAAAAAGTCTACAAGAAATAATGAGTTCAGCAACATTGAAGAATATGAAGTCCATACATAAAAATCAATGTATTTCTATATACTAGCAAGGAATAATTTTAAATTGAAATTAATAAAAATGCCATTTACAATAGCACATGAAAAATATGAAATATTTGAGAGAAAATTTCAAAGTCCTAAATAGATAGACATATATGTATTGGAATCCTACATTAAGATGTCAAATCTTGGGGCCGGCCCTGTGCCCGAGTGGTTAAGTTCTCATGCTTTGCTTCGGTGGTGCAGGATTTCGCCGGTTCCAATCCTGGGTGCGGACATGGCACTGTTCATCAAGCCATGCTGAGGTGGCGTCCCACATAGCACAACCAGAAGGACCTAAAAGTAGAATATACAACAACATACTGGGGGGGTTTGGGGAGAAGAAGAGGAAGAAGAAAAAAAAGATGGGCAACAGATGTTAGCTCAGGTGCCAATCTAAAAAAACAAAGATGTCAGATCTTCCCAGAATGATCTATAGATTTAATGTAATCTCAATCAAAATCCCTGCAGGAATTTTCATAGAAAATGACAAGATGACTAAAATTTATTTGGAAAGCTTTTTCTTGAAAAAAAAAGAAAATAACAAAGTTAGAAAATTCACACTACTTTATTTCAACACTTCGTATAAAGTTACACTAATCACGACAGTGTGGTACTGGCTTAACGACAGATACCTAGATCAATGGAACAGGATAGAAAGTCCAGAAACAGATCTTTACAGATATGGTAAATTGAGTTTGGACAAGGGTGCTACAGTAATTCAGTGGGGAAAGGATAATCTTTTCAATAAGTGGTAACTGATATCTATATGTGAAAAAACAAAACAAAACAGAACTTTGACCCTTACCTCACACAAAACATAGATACATCTATATAAACATATATACACATATAAAAACCTTATATAAAATGTAAGTTGGAATAGATCATAGACCTAGATGTAAGAGCTAAATCTATAAAACTTCTAGAAGAGAACACAGAGAAAATCTCTGTGACTTTAGGTTAGAACAACATATTTCAGATAAATCATAACTCTAAAATTAAAAAATGATAAACTGGACTTCATCACAACTTAAAACCTCTTTCCTTCAAAGATTTGTTAAGAAAATAAAAAAGCAAGCCACAGATTGAGAGAATACAATTGCAAAAGACATATCTAATAAAGGACTTGTATCCAGAACACACTATAAAAATTCTTACAACTAAATAATAAGAAGACAATCCAATATAAAATTGCAGTAAAGATTTGAACAGACACTTCTGTGGATACTTAAAGACTCTATGGCCTTATCTGCCATTCAAAAAAGATACCCTTGTTTTACACTTATTTAAAGATGATAAAGATATCATGTTGTTTCAATTTAAAATCATCATAGAGACATCTGTGAAATACTAGAAAAAGTACTGATAATGAAGTCAGAGGACCTGGTTTCAAAACAACTTGGTCACATACACAGCCATGATAACCTTTAAAAGATCTCAGTTTCTTCACTATATTAAATGGGAATAACAACATTCACTTCCTAAAATTTTTGTGAGGGTTAAATGAGATGGCAAATAAAAAACCCCTGGGTATTCCACAACCATATAAAGTAAGGCCCAGTGAGCCTTCATTATACGACTGCTCATTCTTCAAGTCCCTGTAGGACTAAGGTCGTACATCGAAACGGGAGACATCACAGCAGGAGAAGGTTCGCTAACGAACTGATCGCTCCTAAAACGATCCCCGAGAAAACACTTTCCCTTCCCACACTCAGACCTCAACTACTTCACACGAACATCTGTCTCTGTACTTCAGGTTTGTATGGTCTACTCTCATGATTGTACAGTATTTTGAACACCTGATAATATTTCACAAATAAAACACAAATAGGTTGCTAAATATAACTGCAAGTCCTACAGCGATGCAGGATTTCATTAAGTCAATGAAATCAGAACAACATCAATAACAAGCAATTAACAAATAAATGACAGGATAGGTGCTTAAAAGAAGAGTAATCAGAATATTTTTTTAAATGAGAGCACCTGTGAAAACTGAAGAAGCCTCAATTCTCTTTGCAAATTTGTACCTTTATGACTGTGTTGCAAAAATAAACAAGAGGGGAAGATGTGATATTGTGTCATCACACAATTTTCTTGGGAAAATTACATTGATCCCCCATCCTCTAAAACAACACGATTCTTTCTTCACCCACTCCAAGAATTAGTGAATAGTACAATATAACCTGAATTTTGTTAAATAAATAAGCTTATTTACAGTTTCATTTTCTCAAAATAAAAGCTAATTAGACATATTTTTCAGTAGTTATCACTAAATGCTAATTCACTTTTTAAAGTTAATTGACTGTATAATTTGCCATTGGATAATGTGAAATCTTCTCTTTTTTTATTCTAGTTACTCAAATTTTTATAGAGGGCAGAATAGAGCAATTCCTTTTATTTCCTGTAAAAGCATAGCTGAGATTTAAAAAAAAAGATTCAATGTGTTACATTCAACAGAAGGTGATCTTAACTGTCTACAAGTAATAGAGTAATACAGGAAGAAATATTAGAGAATGTCTTCCCAATTTCCTAATTTTACATATAAGGGTTGGACAGAAGCCCAGTGTGGGAAGTGACTTGCTCAAGACCACACAGTTTCTGGCAGTGGCCAAGTCAGGATCACAAGGAAGAGCTCCCAAACACTCTCCTTCTCTAGATCGTTAATCTCTACTTGACTGTAACATACTATGTAGATAAGATATATGCGAATATCAGAAATACAAGGAAGGGAAATTGTATAGACACACTAAAACGTAAAACACTAGTCAGCAAGCAGTGAAGCACTAAATCGACTTCAAATTTTTATTAAGGCTATCCCTCCGTTAGTGATTGAAGGTATATTAGCTTAGTGGGCCATGCAATAGCTGTAGCACCACAACTAATGGACTGCCAAGAGATGATTTAATAAAGAGGCCCAGCTGAACAACGGTGTATAAGTAACTCTGACAACCTGAGGCTTTCTTCCGGTCAAACGTTTTCTATCTGTAAGTGACTTTCTCTAAAAAAATTACGTGAGAAGATACTCTCAGAAGGTTTCACTGTAATAACAGCAGCCGAAACATTCTTATATAAGTTCAGATTCTCCAAGATCTTAAGATGTGATTAAAAAAAAAAGCTTGAAGGTCTTGTCCCCAGATCCTTCTACAGGCACCATTTATAACATGGTAAGAGATCTAGTTAAACACATTCAGCAACTACAATGTGTATTTCTTTGGTTGAAGTAAAATAAAGAAATAGGGCAACTTTTTAAATGCTGCCCTCAAGATTTTACTCTAAAATATGAGCACTAGAAATTGGGGCAAAGGAGGTTGAAATAAAAATATTTATTAAACACACATTTCTATAACATATCACGTGGACTCCTCATCTTTACAACATGGACTGACTTGTATTGAGAAGAGAAAACAAAAGTAGTATGGGGAGAAAACTATTAAACGAGCAAAGATTTTTAAAAGTAATAATGCATATGGTTGATGAGAGTTCAGGGAAAAGGTGCCTTTACATCCTTCATAACCTTGCTGGAAGTGTAGCAATAAGCAGCAAAACCTTAAAAACATCCATGCAGACCCCTTGACACAACAATTCCACTTTTAAAAATTTATCTAAGAAAATAATACAGATTCAAGAAAAGACTTATCTAAAAAGATCTTCATCACAATGTTATTTTTTAGGAGCAAAAATTATCCAGGGCTGAAATAAATCATTGCACATTCATACATGAGAATAGCAAGTAGTCTTTAAAAAGAATGTTTTAGAACACTGTGGAGACATGTTCACCAATACTATTAAGTGGACAAACAGGATTACAAAACAGTATGCATTATATGATCTCATTTTATATTTAAACATGTACAAATAAAAAGGTCTGGAAGATACACATATAAATATCAATATGGTTATCTGACCAGCGGGATTATGGTATTTCTTTGTTTTGCTCACCTATGTTTTCTAGATTATCCACTAGGAATACATACAGCTTTTGTAATAAGAAAAAAAAACATTAAAACATTTTTAAACAATTTTTTTAAATTCAAAATTTTTAAATTCGAGAAAATAAAATTTTACACCATCATTCTGGAATATTGTAAGTGACTGGGAGAGGCCACAATACAATGTGCTTTAAGATAGGTAAGCCTTTCCCTTGACGTGCCATTGGTTAAAAATTATGTTTACGTCATAATGTGGACATAACCCAAAAGAAAAAAAGTCAAGTATAGCAGTAATTTTATGTTATTAGAAAAAGAACCCATGACAGCCATTATCAATTTTGGGGAAATTAAATTGCAAATAAATGAAGACATTTATGTGGAACAGTTTTAGGTTGCAAGCAAAATGAACGAGAGTTTAAAGCCACAGTTAGTTTCTTAGGTAAAAACAGAGTTTTTATTTCCTTTAAAACAGAGTTTATTATTTACTCATTTAAAAAACATATTTCCTTAACTACCACTTGCAATGGCACAAAGCTGAAGAACTTTGTTCCAGATGTAAAGTCATATTAATGATTCTTTTTTAAGGATGCTGGATTTCTTGCAAAAAAAAGACAGAGCTTCCTATCTGAATTTTCACATGAAATATTTCTACTAAGAGAACATTTTAAAAGACTTTGAAATTTGTTTTTTAAAAAATTATCTATTTATAGAGTCCAATAAAATATTAAGTAGCCATTGTGTGTAACTCTCACACACACACACACTCTAGCAGCGGTTTGTGCATCACATCCATGGTATGACATTCAAAACAGGTTAATGAAGTAAATATTTTGCTCTTCTAGACACAGTTGAATATAAAGAAATGTCTTAAAAATAGGGATAATACCTTGGCATTTAAAACTGTGTTTGGATCACCTTAAAATAAATTGATTTAAAACATATTCCTAGGAAATTTTAAGAATAAAATAAGGCTTACAGGCACAGTGTTATTCCAGTAGCCTTTTGAAAAACTGTTTTCAGATTCAACATCAAATAATCCCAATCACTGAGAGATGACTGCTTAACACTTTTTAAAAACCTTAATCTCAAGTTTTAGTATTCTTTAGAAATTAGGAAAAAATAAGGCATTTGTTTTTCTTTCATCGCTACTCTTTATTTTCATTAATACAGTGAAGTTGTCATATAAAAAGCACTGCTTAAATATGAATCATCTATGCACAAAGTGCCTATTGTATCTAATTATTCATAAGACACCCCGTTGGCCAGGATGCTGTAAGGAAGACTGAAGCATCAGATAGATGACAGTTGGATTGAAAGGCCTCTGTTGCCACTTCCTTCCCAATCATTCTCTGCAATTCTTAAAGATCTCAGTTTTACTGAAGTCTTCACCAGATACCAAGTGAGTTAACATGTACTGAAAGACTCTTTAAGAATATAAATGAGGAGGTTACTCAAATCAGCCTTCCTTCTCTAACCACAATTAGCTTAAATTCAAGATCCAAATTGTGAACATAGTTTGAGGATTTTTCTAACGTGTCCTTTAACCTGCTTCCTCCTTTTCTCTTCTGTGTTTCCTTCATCTTTCTAATCTTAAAGTTGAAAGGGGTTTACATTTTTTTAGAAAAATATGGATGCTTTTTAAAAGTGTATTCCCTTAACTCCTCCTTACATCTACTTTCTAATCCCCAACTCACTTAATTAAATTCAGCGTGAATTTAAATTGCAATTAACCTCTTTTGAGGGATTACATGTTCTAATCACAATTATGCAGTGGATATTTGAAACACATATTTTGTTATATTATCTGAAATGCAAATTGCAGTCCAAAAATGATGTTTAACAAAAATGTAGAGTACTGAAGACTTTATTATGGAACCTGAGGGACTAGAAATAAGATTAAAAAGAGTAAAAGCACTGATACAAATACAAAAACAAATTGCTTCACCTCCAAAACCCCTGGAAATGGCCCCACTTGGCTGCCAGTTAACTGAGCTTCAGCACAGTTTCAAAACAGCCTTCCAAGAGTTTTCATTAACCAAACTGAATTTCATTTTTTCCCCTAGATCAGTAGCTCACAGAGTCTTAAATGAGAGATGATGCATAAAATTCTATAATAGCAGGAGACAAAACCTGTTTTTCTGACCCAGGAATTTATAATAAAATGACTTCTTTTACTTTACTTTTCCTTCAAAATAGCATTTCATAAGCAGAAGAAAAAAAGCTGACATGTGTTAAGTATCTTCTACAAGCCAGATAACAAGTGCGATTTCACTTAATCCTCAAAATAACCCTATGAGGTAAGTATAATTCTATTTTGTAGATGTGAAAAATAAGCCTCAGAGAAGTTAAGCAGTTCAGAGAAATAAGCGAAATAAATCAGTGGTGAAATTGGGACTCTTAAACCCAAGCTCTTGTTGTAAAAGGACAGTATCCTAAATGTGAGACGTTAGGAGGAAAGGTTAGGACAGCGTACCTATTTTCAATTTGCTATCATAGCTATAATCCTCTCAAACAGGCTGCTGGGATTTCGATGGCCTCACAAGACACCTTCATCTCTGGTGGTAAGCTTGGATAGAATGCTTCAAGAAGTTTCCCTCTTGGGGCTCGCAGGGCTCTTTCTGCAAATCCAAGTTCTTGCTGAGAGCCAGGCTTACTCTACCATCTTCTCAATCAATGTCTGGCAGTCAGGATGGGCTTTAGCATGAAGTAAAGATCTGCTTTATTAATCTAGACCCAGCTTCCTTTTGGTAACTTTCCTTTTTTATCTCAGGGTCTGTTTGTACTTCTCAGATTGTTAGCTCCAAGGTAAAAGTAGGACTAGGTAGGCTAGTTCTCACTTTTTCCTTTGAGATAATACCAAGTTATTAAACTGCCAACCCAGTCAATCCTGAAAAGCAGGGTTTAAAAAGACTCGTTAGCATAGCTTTTCTCTCATTTATCCATGATCCATCCTCCTAGATCTATGTGATATGATTACACTTAATGTAACACAACCTCCTGCACAAGAATAGATATGGACACATTCCAAAGGCTGGAGGGAGGCAGCTTGGACAAGAGGACTGTATTTCAGTACATAGTTTAACACCTAAAATAGCCATAAGATATGCAGGCACTAGAGGGCGCTAGATTTAGCTTACCTGGGTCTGAATACAGCTGTGCAGCTAAAGGACCTCAAACAACTTTAACCATTTCAAGCCTTTGTTTCCTCATCTCAAAAATAGGTGTAATGTTAGTATCTACTTGTAAGCATTTTGTGAGAATTAAATGAGATAATTCATGTAAAGCATTAGCATAGTAAGCAATAAATATTAGCTATTATTAACTATATCATCATCACATTAGTCATTAGAGACTAAGACCAAGATTATCCACACCTTCGTATTCCCAATTACTATGTACAGGTACCAAAGCCAGACTATGAAGAACGTTAATAGGAGAAGAATTGGTTCATTTGAAATATGGTGATAAAGAAAGCTCTACAGATACCCTGGACTGCCAGAAAGACAAACAAGTGGGTCCAAGGGCAAATAAAGACTAAACGATTGCTGGAGGCAAAAATGATAAAACTGAGGCTGTCCTACATTGGGCACATCATGAGAAGGCAGGCTCTTTGGAAAAGACAATAATGCTGGGAAAAGTAGAAGGCATCAGGAAAAGAGGAAGACCAAGTATGAGATGAATTGACTCCATAAAGGAAGCCGTAGGCATGAGTCTACAGGAGCTGAGGAGTGCTGCTGAGGACAGGATGTAGTGGACATCACTCATTCAGAGGGTCTCCAGGAGTCGGAGCTGACTTGATGGAACATAATGACAAGGTGGTGAGAACCATTAATCAATGAGCAGCCAAATTAGGAACCTAGAAATAGAGATAAAATTTCTGGTAAATGTGGAAAAATAGAAAAAAAAAATAAACATTTTAAGGTGGGAAGAGGACAGGAGGATAGCTATTGGGGTGTGAGGCCAGCCTTTTAAAAAATGCAGTGTTCATTTTTTAAAATATAATCCACTGTGATTTTAGAATCATAACCTGTTATGTAGAATTCTTTGCTAATATTTAAGAGATTTGTGAGACCTAGGAAAATATGCAACATTTTTTTTTCCTGAGGCAGATTTGTCCCGAGCTAATATCCGTTGCCAATCTTCCTCTTTATCTATATGAGCCACTGCCATGGTATGGTAACTAACAGACGAGTGGTATAGGTCTGCACCCAGGAACCAAACTCAAGCTGCCAAAGTGGAGCGGGCCGAACTTAACCACTGGGCCACCAGGGCTGGCCCTCAACATTTTTTTTTAACATCTTTGGGAGAAAAATCTGAAAGAAGTCCTTAAGGAAAAACAAACCTTTACGGAGGAATGGGTCCTAACATTTCTAATTAGGATAAGGGTTTAGAATAAAAGAATCATTTGGGGGTAATACTAAAGTTTCCTGAAAAGCAAAGGATGAATGGGGAACACAAACAGAGGGAGAACATAGTCACTGGAAAGGCTAACAGCTTCTAGAGGAGTGGAAACCAACCCCTCTGGCAAAATCTTTGCATCTTTCCTATAAAGTGCATCTCTTAACTCGGTCATCATTTCTCCAACTCTGGTCTTTCCTGTGCCTCTAATAAAATAACAAAGTAGGGAGGGTATAAAGAGGTGCAAATGGTTGGTGGAGGTAGTATGGTGGTCAAAAGAGGCGGAAGTTACCATTGGTGTCAGAGAGGTTGGAAAGTTAACTCAGTCAGCAGGTTTACAAAGCTGCCACAGGGCACATGGATAAAGCTCCTTGAAAGTAGGGCTAAGGAAAGGTAAGAGAAAACAAAGAACACTGCGATCCATGAATTTAAGTCTGAGTATTATCAACAAAATCAACCCAATTATTCAGTCAACAAGCAGGTGATGAATTCCTACTGTGTATAAGAAAGTGGGATTTTTTTTTAATATAAGATGTGACCCCTGTGCTCAAGAACATTTCACCCTTTAAGGGAGTATAGGATGTGTCAAATCCAAAGCTACTTTAAAGAAAAACAGTCATTGGACAAATGTTTATTTACACCAAATAGACAACATAGATTTTCTTCCAAGTAGACTTCCTTTAAAACAGAGTTTCTTATTTGCACTGTGATGGGCTTTTTTCTATGTACAATGGCTACGTTTGGGACAGATGTACAACTACGTTCTGATAACAGGCAGTGTACACAGCCTGCCCTGTCGGTTGGTAGAAGAACAAGGATGTAAAAAAGGTATAACCCTTTGACTATTTCTCTACCCATCTCATGGTCTTAGTGCTTCCTCTAATGTTGTTTCTTCAAAGTCTTAACAATTTAACTATTGTTCAAATTTAACGCATTATTTAAAATGCCATTTTTAAGGAATGTGCTTGACTAGAGCTTCTCTTGAAATACTCCTAGGTGTATGTCACATTCTGCGATGTAGCTCAATACATTACATATAGCTATAGATACACATACATATGTACATTCATGCACCCACATATATAGTCATGCATATACATTTATATACACGTATATCCACATATCCCCCCCACCATATATGTAAGTAACTAAATGAGTAATATGAAGACAGGTTATAAAAGAATTTTGCTATAACTACAAAAAAGGATTGAGTAGACAGACCTGGCTCCTTCTCCCTTTATTCTGTAAATGTAAAGTTAAATGCACAATTACCTTTTCAGGAAGGAGTCTCTTTTCTAATATAGCACAAGGTATCTAACTCAAACTTTAACAAAGTCTTCATTGGAATATTACAATGATTAGTGGTTCATTTTAAAATCATGTGGATTTTTTTTCACCAGATATATGACAACCAACCTACTACTCGATGGTGCCTATAACCAGACCCAACTTTCTGCATTTGCTGACCTTGAGAATCTCCCTGAAGTTCCTCCTTTTAAATCTGCAGAGCATAACTAGCGCAGGCTGGTCTGTTGGCATGGAATATGCGTTGATACTAATAACAATGACCACCATTTCTCATTTTCTCAATATATGCCAGGTACTGCACACACATCGTTTTTACATACAGCATCTCATGCAATAGGTGCAGTGCAACCAAGTAAAAAACACAAGAGATATATTTAAAATAGTTCCGAGCCATATATTGCCATTTTAAATTAGTTTAAATAGATACGTGTATTAGAAACAGTTACACAAAAAGGGATATTTGGAAACATTCCCAAATTTAAGCATACACTAAATTTCTAGAAGCTGTCTAGAACACTGGTCAACTAGATTTTCTTTTCCATTAACTTTCCTTTTTAGCATTTGAAGTATAGCTTATTGTAAAACTAATTGTTTAAGAACATATCCTAGCATTAACCCTTTAAGTTAAATAAGGTCTACTCGAATATTTTTCTGTCTCAAATTCTAGTTGAAGCTACAGTCATTCCCATTTGGTGAGGCCTGGTTAAAAAACCTAGGAAAAAGATAGAAAATCTTCAATCCATTGAACATATAAGCCATACATATTAAACTAATGGTCTAATAACTTAAAATTATAACTATTACAACAATTAAGGGTCATTGCTATGGCAAGTATTTATGAATACTCACTCTATGTCAGACTAAATGATTTATATTCATTATCCTCTCATTTAAAATTCATATTATACCCATTTTACAGCTGAGGTGGATGAGAGGTAAAGTAATTTATCTAAAATTGGATAGCTAGTAATTAGTAGAGCCAGGATTTCCACAGCTCGGTAGACGCCAGAGCCCACACTCCTTTCACTATGTTACGGTATCAATGTTAAAAACCTCAACTGAAAAAATTCTACTGCAATTTGAACCACCATTCATACCAAACTCATAAACCCAAGAAAACATCCCTCTGCCTCATCCAACCATTTCCTCATCTCCACCCCCACTCATTCCAAAAAGACAGCTTCATGCAGTTTTCTAAAGCTGCATCAAAAATAAAAGAAACAAAAATGATATCAACACAAAATATAAATCCTTCAGCATCTTAAAAAAAAACTTTTCTATAAAATATAGTGGAATAACTAAGGGATGAATATTAAAAGGTAATGAAGGTGCAAAAAAATGCACTACTGTCAGCACTCCACCTAGGTTACCAACGTGTTAGCGCCTCTTGGTTGAAGACTAATCAACCTAAATGCCTGTTTTGGAAAACATTTTCATGTACTGTATTCCAGTGTTAGGAAGGAGAGCAAGCCCAGAAATTAATTAAGAAATGAGTGGTTTTACAGAGTGCTATGAGAAAAAGAACTTTCTAATAAACTTTCTCTCTATACTTGGAGTGAAATCTTCCTACAGATTTCCTTCCCTCATTTACATGTCTGTGCAGGCCTATTCTTTTTTTTTTTTCCTTCCAAGCCCCTTTGCCCTTTCAATCATGAAGCATATTACTCTACTGTCAGTGCAAAGCAGTTCCTAACAACAGGGAACCCAGCTGGGATAGGAAGAGGGCAGCAGGCTCATGCATTAACATAATAATCCAACTGTGTTCCCATAGGCCCTTAGGGCAGACAGCATATTAGGTAGGCCTCCTGTGCAGACCCTGGTGGAAGCTGCCTGATCACCTGCCTATCAACCTGTGGCAGCTACAGCCGGCTCAATAGCACCAGCTCCTGCCAAGCAGTGGTGCCCAATTACCTTACTACAAAAGACAGAAATCCATTTTTCTATGTCTGTTTAATGTACTCAATGCATTTCCTTATTTACAATTTGAATCTACAGTTCTGCATCATTTCCAGGGGATTGACTTATTGCCTTTTAACTTTTGAAAGTAGTTGTCTAAAGGCCGTATCGCTGCAAGTAGGCAGGAATGAGACTGAAAACCAAATTTCAAATACAAAAGCCCAGGTTGGCAAAGCTAACTCCTTGGTCACTGGTTGTATGAAGATTCTTTCATTGATACAGAGGATCAGAAGTGTGAGGAAGACCTGAATGGCAGCCATCACTATTTCCTCAAGGGGACAAAGGTGGGGGGCAATCCTACACCAACGTCTTCTTGAAATGTAGTTTTTTAATTCTAATCCAAGCATATTCTAAGCTTCCCATAAAGCATAAGCTTTTGTGCATAGTGCACACTGATACCCTCACGTGGAAAGGGCGTGGATCACTACAACTGGCTGAAGGAGTAGAGAATCACAAAAGATAAGACAAAATTATTTTTTAAAATCTCAAATTATTATGGAAGACTCTTTTAAAAAAAGACTGGTCCATTTGTATGTTTTTTTATTGTTTGTATGTATGAACTGCATGTTTTATTTTAATGCTGCTCAGTTCCTGGAGTCTTTGATTTGTTCCATGTGTGGTTTTCTTTCCAAGCCACAATACCTATCAAATAAGGAAAAGCAAAAGGGGTACATTCCACTGAAAACATATTATTTATACATCACACAAGATCATCTTTAAAACCCCAGAAACATATGTTTGAAATGATAATTCACTTCAGTGAATTAAACACAGTAGTGTCATTCCTTAATGAAATTTCCCCCTTATAAAGATTGCAAAGAAGGTACACAATATGACATTTAATTTAATATGGGAAAAAGTACTTTTAGAAGTATTCTAAATAATGCTACTTAAAAGAGTATGAGGCTACCAATATGGCCAGGGAAACTTTCTACTGATCAAGTATTTCTTAAAAAAAGGAGTTCCTAGAAACATTATATTCTGGGGTTTTTTATGGCTATTTTAATAAAAAATGAATCCTCAAGTCAAACAAAAGTGCATTTATCTAACATTTCTATGAATTTTAAATGTTAGGGAACTAATACTATTATTTAAGCCAACCAACCTGACATGTTTTATATACATGCTAATACTTAAGTATCAAGCACCATATCCGCACATGGCACTGATTTTCACTGTCAAGGTTAGATCTGG